GAAGCTGATGAATTTTCATCTTTTTGTGTGTGTTAGGAAAAAATGATTATCTTTATACTTATCTTTTCCTAAGTTCTTATTGTTCCTTAAGGAGGTATGTTATGAAACTGTTGTGAAATGTATCTCCCAATCAGGAATAAATTAGTAGTTTGTTTTCCTGGTCCTGTTGGAAACTAACTTCCTTCCTGCCTTCCTTCCTTTTTTCCTCCCTCTTTTCCTCCTCCCCTCCTTTCCTTCCCTTATCCCTCTCTTCCAACCCCTTTGTCTGGAACTCTATTTAAATACTAACTTCGTGCATATTTCTTGAATAATATGTTCACTGTTACTATTATATTGTAGTATACTAGTTGCAGAGTGTACATATTCATTTATAATGTTATAAGAGCTCCTTTATTAAGTATATATCATAAGTTTAAATTTTTAAATCAGTTAATTTTATCTCTTATGTCTATATAAAGGTTAATCTTCACTTTTTGTAGGGTAAACAAAAAATGCTGTTAGTGTGAGATAGAACTATCTCACAAAATTAAGGCACAAATTATTTTTTTCACTTTCTATCTTTCCTTCCATGCTTGTAGTTTTCTTTTGGCTTAGAAAGGATGTTTATACTGATTTAAACTGTGAAACACTGTAGAATTAAATTTCCTTAATTACAGACTTTATAGTGGTTTGATTTATAATTTTCACTTTATTATGCCTTATTTGCTTAAATGCTATTCAATTAGAATAATGGTTACTGAAATTTTAAGTGGTCTTTAGTCAATAAACATATGAACACATTTAGAAAGTAGTTTATGAATATAAATTTAATTAATTTTGTGTTTTAACTTTTTTTTGGTCTTTTTGAAACAGAGCCTCCCTGTATACCTAGCTGGCCTGGAACTCACTATGTAGACCAGGCTGGCCTCGAACTCACAGAGATCCACCTGCTTCTGCCTCCTGAGTGCTGGGACTAAAGGCATGTGCCACCATGCCTGGCTATATTTTAACGTTTTATTTTGGAAGAGAAACAACATAAAACACCATATAAAAATATGTAAGTCATTAAAATAATATATGGATATATTTAGATTATCATAATAAAATCTTTTTGTTATTTTCCTCTGTTACATTTTAACTTATTTGAGATCTTTATATGATTACCATGTTTTTTTCTTGACAATTATTTTTCTGCATTCTCTGCTTGTTGTTTTTTTTTCTGTATTTAAAATATTAGTGTTCCTGATAATCTACCCTACTTTCTTCTTCTCTTCCTTTTTTTCTTCGTTTTTCATCATCATTTTTTTCCATATGGAAGTCTCGTTATGTTACCCAGATTGGTCTAAAGCTCCTGGCTTAAGTGATTCTCCTGCCCCAGCATCCCGAGTAACAGATACTACCACACTTGGCAGATAACATTCTTCAGCTCTCTTTCTATACTAGTACTCAGATTAGGTGATACCTTCTGTTTCTATGATTTTATCTATCATTCCAACCATAGCCATACAATTTCTAACTTTATTCATCTCATACCTTACTTTTGAGATCTAGAGTCATCTGTCTGACAATTACTTAATCCTCCTTGAGTCTTTCAGATAAACTAGAACAATTGATTACACGTTTTTTGCTAAAAGGAAAACAGAGATGCCATCAGTAGCAGCAACATAAAAATTTGGTTCTACTTCCACTCCTTTGTTGGATAACATCATTAAATGTTAGGCCAACATCTTATAACCATTCTTGATTCTTAAGTGACATCTATTCCTCATATCTGTCCCTTCCCCTTACCTTTTTTGTGCTAATGCCACAGTTATTTCCAATTCTATCCATTTTCTCACTCTTATTTTTGCTATTTTTTAAAATTTCTTTTTAAAATTTATTTAATAACCACATGATTAGAAGCATTTCATTACAGCTTTAACATATTCAATAACAATTTCCAAAGCAAAGATACATCTTTTTCAAAAGTGGCTGTAAAATTTTAGGTTCACAATTGAATTAATACAGTTATTCAATATTGAACTCAGTATAAACCCTGTAAGACATAAAATTGAATGAGTTTTTAACCTTTAAAAAAGATCTCCATTTCATTTTAATGTATACTGTTTCCTACAGAAAGACTCATTTTTAATGCTACTTACACTTAGATGTTTTCACATGCGTCTCTAGTCTCTATGTATCTAGTCACAGTCGGTTACACTCAAATCTTTGGCACCTGATTGTGGATATAAAGTTATCAGGTAGATTTCAGTGGTAATGTTTATCACCTCTACTAACGTGAAGTAAACTTTTATGCTTCCTCCTCAAATATAACTGATTTGTTAAATTTGTTGATTTTTTGTGTGTATATCATACAGAACATCGCAAACAATTTTATTCATCTATATACCCACTTCCCAAATGGCACCCTCCCATAGCATCACCCCCCCTCCACTGGAGCCCATATACTCTGTCATCTCTGTTCCTCTCCACTGTGTTGTTGGGCCCCCCAAGCCATTCTCCGGTGCTTGTCCATCCAGTGAATCTAGTCTGCCTATCTAGAGATCCTTGTTTTAGGAAGATCAGCTGTTCCTCATCTAGTAGCAATCAGTTGTGAATATTCCTTTAGATAAGATTGCGGTCTGCTGTTCATTTTCCCAGTTCTGTCCTGGCTTACTGTCTGGGAGTCTCTTGGGCCACCCTGGCCAACAACTCAAAGGAAGGTATCTCCTATCTGGCATTGTTTTTTGTTATGTAGCCTTCAGCTGTACATATGGACTCTTAAAAAATATTGACCTCTTTAATATTTGGTTATACTTTCCTTTTGGGTGTTTAAGACTCTACAGTTGGCCTAGATAAATCAATTTATTTTAACTCTTAAGTCCATTTGAGGATCTGTTCTTCAGGGTATCATGGGCTTGGGAGGAGCCTGGCTCCTTTCTTTTACCAGTTCTGTCTATGTGAAGATAAGTTAAAGGTCCTGCTTGACCGTGGCTGGCTTCGCTTGGAAACATGGAGGAAATATTTCTTCTGTGTTGACCTATTTTTGCTATTTTTAATATTTTATTTATTATTTTTGTTTTATGTGTGTGACTGTATTGCCTGCGTGTGTGTAACTGTACCCATGTCATCCAGTGCCTGCGGAGGTTAGAAGAGGGTGTTGGATCCCCTGGAACTGGAATTACAGATCATTGCTAGCCACCATGTGGGTGCTGGGAACCAATCCCATGTCCTCTGCAAGATCAGTCAGTGCTTTTAACCACTGAGCCATCTCTCCAGCCCCTAGCTCAGCATTATTATAGGAGGTTGTTTTCCTTGTGATGACAGAAAATATGGTGAATGAGTAGGCCAGGCGGGACTATAGATGTTCTCCCTGATATAGCTATATGTTTCAGAATATTCTTATATTTTAAGCCACTTAAGTATAATACACTAGTAAAAGCAATTGTATTTCTTCATAACATAATTACTTTAATAATTATTTAGGTAGTGGGTCACAACACAAGGAAGAGACTTGCACATTAGGTCCAGTCTTTTGTTTTTCTGTCAGAGCTTAAGCATGGTTAAATACAAGGGACACTAGTAAAGATGTTATAGCACCCGACATAACCTCCAAGAACAGCTATCTAGCCAAAAGTATCTATTTTGTTGATGTGGAGAAACCCTTTCTGTGTATTTTTTTAGCCCATCCCATGATGTCATTTTTTTTCAAATTTTTATTTAACAAATAAACCTCTAATAGAACAGTAGTCAAATAATAACTCCTTAATTTTATTTTTATGAAAACTCAGATGAATGGGGCATATTTGTGTCTGTTTGGAATAATTCAGGTCAAGAAGGAATCAAATGTGAATACCGGGATTTGCATGAGCAGTTTACCAAGAGGGATTTGGGTGGCAATGTGTGAGATTAAAGAAGTAGAGTTGTAGCAAATATTTTGAGCTTAGATTTTATACTTGTAGAATTTGAGGTTCCTGAAGGGTATCAAAAGGAAAACCTGAACATGAAAATACAGTATTTAAATCAATCATAGTGGTGCACACCTGTCATCACAACACCAGGAGGAGTCTGACTTCAAGGACAGCTCGAACTACATAGTGACATGCAAGTGAGATGGAGCTATGTAACAAGACTCCGTCTATGAAATTCAAGAAAATAAAAATAAAAAATGAAACAAAACCAACCAACCAACCAACAAAAAGCTGTTTATTCATATTCTTAATTTGTAATTTGTCAGTATATAAATGTAATTTGGTCCTGGAAGGAGATGAAATCTCCAGAAAGGAGTTTATCCTAAGAAGGTAAGAGTGTCTTATGTAATAGCTTTTGAGCATACCAAAATTCATGATTTAGATAGATGAAAAATGTATTCAAAGCAACTAACAAGTGAAAGAGATTAATAGAGACTCTGAAGAGTAGTCTTCTAGGCCAGGGCTTGAAAATGTTTCCAGATGAATGGGGCAGTCCCAATACTGAGGCTCTTGTTAACCTTGGAGGATGTGAAAGAAAATAGAAACCTAGATGTGGGTTGAAAAGTCCATGGTAAATTTTGCATTGTGGATTTGTATAAATTTGGCTGTGAAGGATGAAGAGAGAGATGGAAAGGAATGTGGGTTTATGGCACATTTTTCTTGTTTTTAAAGATCAGAGAGAATTCTTTGGTTTTTTTTTTTTTTTGCGTGTGTGTGTGTGTGTGTGTGTATGTTTTGCAGAGGATGATGGAGCCCACAACCTTGTACATTCTAGGCAAGTGCTCTACCACCGAGCAATACCTCCCTTCATTGGTATATGTAAAGATAAATAGTACATTTGGGTTTTAAGAAATTTTGAAACATTTTGCTAATATGATTTTGAAGTTCATTTTGTTAGTAAACATATATTCTATGACTATATTTCTAAATGACGTTTTGCCTTCAAGTTACTGGTGGATGATATTTCATAATATTTTCGATAGTTCTTAGATTCTCAGTGGAAATTGTTCTGTTAATTACTCTAGATAACAGGTGTGTGCTTAATACTGAAACACTGGTTTTATTTTTCAGATCTTTCCAGAAATCGTTTTACCGAAATTCCTTCTGACGTGTGGTTATTTGCACCACTTGAAACATTAAACTTATATCATAACTGCATCAAAATCATTCCTGAAGCCATTAAGAACCTGCAGATGTTAACATACCTTAATATTAGGTAAGCAATCAGTTCTTTAAAAATAAGTTTTATGGGCCTGGAGAGGTGGCTCAGTGGTTAAAAGTACTTGCTGCTCTTGCAAAGAACCAGGGTTCATCTCTCATCACCCATATCAACTGGTTCTTAGCCACCTCTGACTCCAGTTCCAGGGAAACCAAACACCTTCATCTGGATCCTTTGGCACCTGCATGCATGTGGTGCACATATATACAAATAGGAAAACTTGCATAAATATAAGAATTTAAAAAAAGTCTTAAAATTGTTTTGTATGGTTTTAATCCTTTTAGTAGCAAAGGAATCTGTTTGGATTTCTTATGTAGCCTATCTGTATCTTAGCATTGTTTACTTATATTTTGTTTATGCCTAAATTGCATTGTAGACTTTTGGTCTGTTTCTTCAGAGCAGTGTTTCTCAAAGTTTCATACACAGGAATCACCTAGAGATCTTGTTAAAAGTAGATGTTGATCCTTTAGGCTTGCTGTGGAGCTTGCATTTCTAAAAGGTGTCTCCTGGTAATCTCTATGCCTGCACGCATGCTGGTCATTAGCTCTCAGTTTGAGAGGAAGGTTTTACATCATAAATATTTTCCTCAGTTGAAGATCCATCATATGCATCCACTTATGTGGAACTCTAGTTACAGTGAAACATTACAAACACCACTGAAGTAGTGTTTTACTGCTTGGAACTTCTTGCTAGTTCAAGAATGGACATATAGATGTTAGGGATGGAATCCAGGGTCTTGTGTATGCTAGGCAAGCACTTTACCACTGACTGATATCCTTAACTATTTTATGCTTAATAGGTGTTTATTATGTGCCAGACAGTATTCCAATATGATTTACCCATATTACCTCATTTCATCTTCTAACATCATTTTGAGATAGGTACTGTTAATATTCCTACATAGCAGATCAAAGTGGGTGATAGGTGAGCAGAATCACACAAAATAGCAGAAATGTTGCACTCAAACTTGTGTTTGAATCTCTGCTATGCCTAAGCAAGTCACTTCATCAGTTTTAGGCTTCATTTTTTTATTTGTGTAATGGAGATAATACTACCCACCAGGTTGGGATGATGTGCAGATTAAATAGCACAGTGCATGAGTGGAATCTACGTGTGCTTGTTATAAAATAAACATTAAATGGTACTTGTTATTTGGTGAAAGCTTATGATATACTTTTGAAATGGCTTGTGCATTTCAGCATAGAGTAGTGTTTCAGGCATATTTATCATAATAAGAATTTCTTCTTTGTTTCAGTCGAAATCTTTTGTCAACATTGCCAAAATATCTATTTGATCTTCCTCTTAAAGTTTTGGTTGTCAGTAATAATAAATTGGTATCCATTCCAGAAGAAATTGGAAAATTAAAAGATTTGATGGAGTTGGTGAGTAAAATAGTTGTATTAATTTCATATACTATGTATAATATAGAGTTTGGAAATAAACTCATTCCTTTGTGGAATTTCACTGTAGTTTTCAAAAATGGAATGACTTGGAATGGAATATGTCTAAATTCCCTTGAGTAAAATTTTCATTTACAATTATTTATGTCTGAGTATCCAGAATTATAAAAAGCCTAGTTATTCCTTAGCCCCCTAGCCTTGGATACATTAAAAGGTGTGGTTTCTGAGATTTCAGAAATATCTTTCAAATGAATAAGTATTTGTGTATTCATTTTGTGGGTGGGAATGTTCTTAAGGAAAAGATATTTTTTCTGAGGTTTTATAGGACTAATGTAGAAGTTTAGAGAAGAGGGATAAAAATAGAAACTCTAACTGGGTGTGTTGGTGGTACATGCACATAGTCCCAGCTATGCCAGAGGGAAAGCAGAATAATCACGCAAGCCTAGGAGTTTTTCCCAGGCTGGGTAATATAATGAGACTCCATATTCCCCAAATCAATCGGTCAATCAATCAATCAATCAATCAACCAATCAATCAATCCTTTTAAAATGTAAAACAAAGAGTACAATGCTTGCTAACTATAGAAGTAGAATTAACAAACTTTCTTCTGTAATATGCTCGTATTACTTATAACACTTTAAGACAAAAATACACGTAAAGAAGCAATTGTATGCGGTTTATTATGGAAATTTATGTGCTAAGTCTGAATAATAGCATTTAAAAATTTAAAGGACATTGAACTTACAGAGCAAAATGCAATTGGATCCTCAAAGCATTGGACAATTTTCGTATCTTTTGGTTACTTCAGTTTTACACATTGAACCAAGCTGCTTATTTTATTTTATGTCTTGTTTTGGGTAAAGTTTTTCCAATAAATTGGTGCTTCTGGATTTTTCTTAAGTATGACTTTATTATCTCTAAAAGTTTAGTAGCTTTTTATGAGTTATAATTTTATAATGGGAACTTAATGTTATAATGAAGAGTATTGTTAAGAAATAATGCCAGCAAAATTGTTTAATCATTGAGAAGTATCTTCATGTCCAGATATAACACAAAGAAACTTCCTTGAATTTCACTTTATTCTGTAGAGCCACAAAATTTTGGGATGATAAGAAATCTTATAAATGATTAGATATAACCACTTCCTAATGTGGGAATCCCTGAGACATCTACTTATGTATTTCCCCAATGGACACTTCTCTGTGTGTCTCTGTGCCACCCCTAATTCTTCTCTATAAAGCTGTATTTGTTACTAATCTTTCTTATTTTGAACAAAATATGCACTCCTCTTAGTTCTACCTTTTGATCTTGTGATATAGTATGAACAAATGTAAATAATGATAGCTTTTATTCCCTGAGGTAAATGTAATCCACATGTGTTTAGTGTTTAGTACAAAACTTTTAAGACCTTTTCCTTAGTGGAAACATCCTTGCTACCTTTGTTTCTTTCTACGAATTTCTTTTAGACTATGTCTGTCCTGAAAACTGTTCACTTTCATTGATGGTGTCTTACAATATTATACTTAAAAATGAATAGAGATTCTAGATGGGACCTGACAAATTCATAATAAAAGGGTTCTGTTATTTTCCTTGACCTGTATGCAATGTTTTAAAGGGTTTATAGATATTATACTATTTATTTATTTATTTATTTATTTATTTTTGTTCTTTTTAAGAGAGGGTCTCCCTGTAACCCCAGCTGGCCTGGAACTCACTATGTAGACCAGGTTGACCCTGAACTCACAGAGATCCTCCTGCTTCTGCGTCCTGAGTGCTGGGACTAAACGTGTGAGCTACCATGCCCAGCTAGATATTATACTTTAAAACGTAGAGATCTATAGTTACTTTTTCATTCTTTTTTCTTCATTCAGGTTTTGGCTATATATTTTGTGTTATATTAACTGAGATGCTTTCTGATAAAATGTCAAAAGGATTTAGGATGTTTATATTTATTTTAGTATTTTAAAAAAATAGAATATTTAAAAATATGAAACATGGGCATAGAGAGATGGCTAAGAAGTTAAGAATGTGTACTGCTTTTGCAGCGGAGCCTGTTTGGTTTCCAGCACACACATTAAGATGCACATAACTGCCTATACCTATAGATCCAAGGGATGTGATGCCCTCCTTTGGTATTTCTGAGCACCTGTACTCATGTGCACCTATTTTGTAGAATACCTGTCTGTGTCCTGTGCAATTTTAAAGAAATGGCAGCTATCTCTCAAATTTCTGTGTATTTTTCTATACTGAAACTTTGCTATCAGAAACCCATGGTAAGGAATCAATAATATTTATTTTAATTTCAATTTATTTACACGAATAATAGTTTATTCTGAACATAACAGGTAAGACGATCTTGCTGAAATATGTCAGATCACATTATTCTAAAATTTCTGGTTTCTCTTCACACATTTCAAGAGTAAAAGTAAAAGTTGTATCACCCCCACTACTTTGTCTCTTGCCCATTAGTACAGTCATAGCCAACTCAAAGTATCTGACAGAAACAATCGAAAGGAGTAAGGGTTTATTTTGGCTCATTGTTTCAGATGTGTCAGTTTATCATCGTGTTGATGGCATGGCAGAGCTGAGCAGTTTACACCTTGATGGTTAGGAAACTGAGAACAAGAAACAGTTGAAAGAACGTCCCAGGGACAGACTCCTAAGTACCATATATCTTCCATCTGGTCCCCACCCCTTACTCTTTATCACCTCCCTGTTATGCCATCGTATTATGAATTCATCAAGGGACAAATCCGTTGATTAGGCCAGAAACCTCAGGATCTGGCCTTGGCAGCTTTTGGATATCCAAAGCCCCTAAACATGAGGACACTAGGGACATTTCACATTTTAACCATACAGCATTTCATTAATATTTATTTTTGAATGAAGATATATGCCTTTTGAAAGAAATATATGACATATTTTCATATTTATAGCTTTAAAAATATTTTAATTGCTTCCTTGAGAATTTCATATAATGTATTTTGATCATATTCAAATGCCATCTCTCATCTCCTTTCAGATTTACCCCCACCTCCTTACCCTGCTCCCTCATTTCGTGTCCTCTGTTATTTTTAGCGGTCTATGGAGTCCATTTGTCTTTGCCAAATGCTCTTGCATGTGGGTCCTTTTGGTCGAATCTGGTCAACTTCCCAGCATCACACCACTAAAACCAACTGACTCACCCCCTCCCAATAGGTATCAGTTGCTAATAGTTCCTCAGCTAGCAATATGGCTTCATTCCTTCCTCCTCCATGCATTCCAGGTTTTTGTTCATACTGTCACAAGGGTTGTGGGTTTCTATCTGCAGCTCCTCTGTTGTGTCTGGAAAACTTGGATTTTTTTTTGTAATCCAGTACCTCTGGCTCTTACAATCTTTCCTCCTCCTCTTCTGAAATAATCCCTAAATCTTGGGAGGAAAGGGTGTGATCTAGATATCCCATTTAAGGCTGAGCACTCTACAGTCTCCTATTCTCTGAATGTTGGCCAGTTGTGGTATCTGTGTTAATCAACATATGCTGCAAGAGGAAGTTTCCCCGGTGAGGATTGAGAAATGCACTGTTTGTGGGTATAACAATAAGTCATTAGGAGCTGCTTTAGTACTATCTCTATTTAGCAGGATAATAGTAGTAGCTTTTCCCCTATCACCTGGGATCTGTCTAGCCATGGGTTCTTGGCACTGATGAAAGTGACAGGGATGACTCCATCTTGTGAAGTGTTCTTTAAATCTCATTCTTCCTTACCTGGTTTTAATATTCTTTTGAACTGACATGCCTGACTTTTAACACTTTCATATTTGTAATTCTTTTGGAAAGAATAATTTAGTTAAGTTATTGCTGGCCATAGTCTTTAATTGTTGAACTTCTCCACTTTTTCATGCCTAAATAATCTGAAATGAACTATAATAATTGACAGCTTATCTTGGCTGAATGATAGTTGTTATATTTTTATTTCTGCTTGAAGAACACTTAACTCATTCTAATTTTAGTGGATAAGAGTTCTTTAGCTGAAATTTTTGAGATGTTGTCTTATATATACTTACTAAATCATAATCTCAAATTTTTGCATAAGGGACTAGAGAGATGATTCAGTGGTAAAGAGTATATATTGCTCTTGCAGAGGATCTGAGTTTGGTTCCTACCTCACAACCACCTGTAACTCCAGCCCCAAGGGGGATATAGCACCTCTGGCTTCCACTGTCATCTGCACTCATGTGCACATGCATGCACACACACACAGACACAGACACTCACACACAGACACACAGACACACACACACACACACACCCTTAAAGATAAAATAAATATTTGAAATTTGCATAGGAAAATTCCTGTTGACTGTGGTGGATTGACTTCATGATATAATACAAATAAAGATCTGCTGAATAATCCAGCCATAGAGAAGGACTTTAGAAGTAACTTTTGCTAGCTAGCTATTTAACCATATGCTTTAATTTTAAAATTGAAAATGTATTTGTATTTCTCAGTTCTTTGTAATTTTATTTTCTTGTTTTCCTTAGGATATTAGTTGCAATGAAATTCAGGTCCTTCCCCAACAAATGGGAAAATTACATTCACTTAGAGAGCTAAATATCAGAAGAAATAATCTTCATGTTTTGCCAGATGGTAAGATGTTTGCTGTTTTCACTTACTTGAGTAAGAGAATAACTATGCAATATTTAACTGAATTATTTTACTTTTTATTTCTGAACAGAATTAGGAGATCTCCCCTTAGTCAAGTTGGATTTCTCCTGTAATAAAGTGACTGAAATTCCTGTTTGTTATAGGAAGCTGCATCATTTACAAGTAATAATTTTGGATAACAATCCATTGCAAGTACCACCAGCACAGGTTTGTAACAAACATTTATTTCTTCTCAGCAGTCTTCATCATTTTATCCTTTTATTTGTTTATTAAATTTAAAAGTAGCATCAAATTGATTTTCTCCCTTAGCAGCTTGCATAGTGTCCTCCAAAACTATGAGAGCTAGTCTTCAGTGAAGACACTTCCAGGTCAGTTCCAGCTGCATTGCTCCAAATTCGGTGTCTGAAGTATGCCCTGCCCTCAGCAATAAGGTCTTACCTTCAAATTCTGGGAGGCAGTCAAGGGCTATGGCAATAGCCCATGTAATTTTGGGAGTCTCTTGGGCTATTTTGGCCTGCAATTCATTGGGAAGTTTCTCCTGTCTGGCACTGTTTCTTATTATATGTCCTTCAGCTATACACATGGACTCATGTAAGGATATGTTTAGTATGGTTTTTCAGTAGGCTTTGAACTAATACATTTCCCTCTGGTTTTTCACACCTGCTGAGCATTATTTCTCTCTTATCTCTTTCTCTCCCTAACACTCCCTTCTCCCTCCTCAGTTAAAGTAACCCATTTTCCCCTTGATAATACCTGTCTCCTGTGGTCCCCTCTTTCTTGAATTCCTTCTTCTTATTTATCTCCATGGTTCCTTGTATAACCTTTCCTCTTCCCCTCCCAGTTAAATACCCCCATTTTCCCTATTTCCCCTTTGGTAAAACCTGTCTCCTACTGTTCCTCTCTCTCAGGCTACTTATTTCCCTTTACCTCCCTGGTTCCTTTCCGTTTTCCCGGTTCCTGCAGTTACATCAGGATATATAGCTACATATTAGGATTGCTCATATGAACCTACAGCAATAGTGTCAGCATGCACAACTCTTATGCAAACTCAGACAAAATCCCAGAATAGAACTGGGAAAATGGACAGCAGACCCCAACCTTAGACAAAGAACTATTGGCAGATGATTACTGCTGTGTGAGTGAGAGCTGATCTTCTTTAACGGAGTGACTCTAGATAGGCTGACCAGACCCCAATGGATGAACTTGGATTGAGGGATATCTGGATTCACTAACTTGACTTGATAGGCCTTAACATAAATGACAAAATCCATGAAATCTGGTGAGGGGTTACGGGAGTGTACAGATGGAGAAGAGGGTATAAAAATGATTAAGATGTTCTGTTTGAAATACACAAAAAGTTAGTAAAAATTGTACAGAAAATGAAATTATTGAACTGTTGTTCAAAGTGTCTGCAATGTCTTGCAGCCCTATTAACAAAGACTGAGAGTCTTCTTGTTCCATATCCTCGTCAGCACTTTCTGTTGTCATTAAAATAAAATCTATAGCCATACTTACAGTCATGAGGTAATATCTTATTGCTTTAATTAGCAATTTTATAATGACATAGCCTCTTGAACACCTTTTCATAAACGTACTTCCTTTTACATACCTTCTTTGGAGAGCTATCCAAATTGTTGATTTGTGTTTTACTTTGATTTGACTGATTTTTATTATTCCATTTTAAAACTGTAATTTTGATAAGAATCCTTTATTAAATGGTTTGCATATATTTTCTAAAAAATAGCATCAAATGATCAAATTTTGTCTTTTATATAGTATTATCCAGACTTTCTAAGAAGCGATGTTTGATTTTTTATTATTTTTTGTAAGACAGGATCTTATGTGTCTTAAGCTGGCCTCAAACTCTCTATTGTAGTAGAAGATGGCCTTGAACTCTTGATCTTTCTGCCTCTGCCTGTCAAATGCTGGTATTGGAGCCATGTGTCACCATGATCTGTTAGAAGTAACATTTTGACTTTTGTAGAAATTTTAGTGTGGGTTATACACTGGCATTTGGAAAACACAAAGTCAAATTTTTCTTTGTGAACCCATAATTCTGCTTGTCGATATTATTTTAGAAAGATAGGCCCTGAACTCACTTAGGTGGGATTTATCATGGGACTCATGTAGTTATGGGTACAGAGATGTGGGTTGGGATTAGAGTTCCTCTAGGAAGACTCCATGCTCGTGGTGAAAATGAGCTGCCTGAAGTAAATAGAGTACTGTTGTCTCAGCAAAGACACCTCTCAGAAGCATTCTTGGCACTGAGATAGAATTATGAGAGAACTATACAAATGGAAAATGTTAATTTTGACTTTTTAGCCCATGAGGATTAGTTAATGAAAGTTAAATGCATGTGGAATCTACTAAGATGATAATGAATGAACTAAGATATAAACTCAGGAGGACCAAGAGAATGAATGAGAAGCAGATGGCATGATTTTGGAAAGTGGAAATGAGGTAGAATATTATAAGTAGTGCCTCTAGTTACAAGACGCAGATTTGATTTAGGAGCACAGCAACTCTTGCTAAGCCATGTGCACCAGCTTGTAGCCTATGAAGAAAGAGCTGCTTTTTTCTTTGACAAAGACACATTCCATGCATTACAGAAAGAGCACCTTTTCTAATTCAAATAAAGGCTGCTGTCAGTTCTGCTAGCAGTAGTTTTAGCTGTAAGGGGAACTTTGTAACTTTTGTTTGCTATGGGAAAAAGCAAAAAGAAGCAAGTTGATTTATCATGTCAAACCTGAGAATGAATTTGTTTTTAGAGATAACATTTAACTCATTTTATAGTAATGGAAGTCTGAATGTCCAGTAGAACATTCTGGATGACAGTATTCACTGTTGATGCAAAAATACAGTTGTCACCTCAAAAGGAATTAGAGATAGTTGATTTTGGACCCCAAACTGAGTTACCATGTCCCAGAAACACAGGTTTAGGTTACTTCAACATCCATTTTGCAACATGGCAGCAGTTTCCTGAGGTTTTTATGATACTGGAACAAAGAAAGTTATAAGTCAAGATAATTTTAAGACAGATTTGAAGTATGTTGGTAGAAATGTCAGGTCAGTGGGTTATAGATATAGACAAAAGAAATTCAGCTGTTATCTCAAAGGAGGAAAAGAGATGGTTTATTCTGGAGTCAAATATTCAGGTTCCCTCAAATACCATGTTCCAGTGTGTTAACAGTTACATGAAAGTTTTATGGTAACACAACAAAGAAAATCATAAATCAAGACATTTTTCAAGTATATTGATTGAAACATCAGGCAGATAGGTTACAAAAATTGAGAAAAATCTCAGCTATAGGTCTCAGATGGTATGTGGTGGCATTCATTACCTTTGGCTCATAGAGGCTAGTAGTCTGCTTGCACATTCCAAAGGATTTACCTAGTGTCCCCAAACGCGTTAGGTCTCATACAGAGGAGGACACTAAATGGCTAGTAAGGGAGCTAGAGATGATGACCCAAGTCAGTTGAGGTCTGGACTTGGCAACCTTCTATCCCCTTTCACATAACTGAAACTCTGGCCAGTCGTCAGCCTTTCAAGTCACAGCTTCTTTTCAGGAATTCTCATTCACAGAGCAAATGAAAGAATCCCTGGTATAGGTCTCAGATGTTATCTGGTGATATTCTTAACTTTTGAGTTGCTGGAAACTAGGAGTCTGTACGTTCCAAAAGTATTTACCTGACAGTCATTAGCAAGAACGTTAGGGCAAAGTAGTGATAAATAAATGACTATTTAGAGTAGTAAGATTGCCTGGGCCGCTGAGACTCTGGACCTGCAACATTTCATTTCTCTACAATCACTGAAATTCTTCTCAGCCAATCAGTATTATAGAGTGTTTTATTTCTGGGAGCTTCAGTTAAAAATCCTTATATTTTTGTCCCCTCAGCTCAGTGGTCAAATGATTCATGCCTTACTTCAGCAGAAGCCTGGAATTTACTCTTTAGAACACTGTAGCTCATTAGTACATTACTTGGTGATCAAAATGGATGTGATATTTACAGTACTGTAACCACAGTGACTGTTGAGTACTTCAAAGTGAATAGGGTGATCAAAGAGTTGAGTTATTAGTTTATTTTCGGTTTAATTTAAATTTACGTAGCCATATATGTCTAGTGGCTATTATATTGGACTGCACATCCATAAAGTTTGAAATAGAGTCAGGAACTGTAGATATTATACTTCTAAGTTAGATTCAATGTCTGATACACCACAAAAACGGAATACTTAGCTAGGATGCTTAGAGTACAGAGTGTAATCAAGAATATACCAACTGAAGCTGAGCATGGTGGCAAATGATGGGCATGGTTGGCTCATGCCTTCAATCCCAGCACTGGTAAGAAAGAGACAGGCAGAGCTCTGTAAGATTGAGGCCAGCATACATGCCAAGTTCCAGTTGGGGTTCAGGGAGACCCTGTCTCAAAAAGACAAAAAAAAAAAAAAAGAGGAATATACCAGCTGTGAAACTTGAGGGCAGGCACCTTTACCTTTTGCTAGTAGAAATTGTTATTAAAGTTCTTAGAGTCAGAGCCTGGGCCCCAGCAGTTGCCTAATAAGCAAGGCTCTGACACAAATCCTTAATAGGCCAATTAAACAAACAGATCAAGTAATAGTGAAAAACAGAAAAAGGAAATTTATCCAATGTGGCCACATTCATAAGAGAAACAAGAGGTCCAGTGAACTCCAAATTCCATCTTCAGAATCCTAACAGGAATTTTAATTTTAAATAGAGGGCAAGAAGTATATATGTAACTACTCAGTCCCAGTCAAGCTATATTGTCCTAGACATCATTGTCTAGGCATCAGACTTTCTTGCAAGATGGTCTGAAAAATTGTCAGAATTATGTGAAATCCTTTTCAAGGTAACAAGCTCACTTTTGGTTGGCACCAGATTTCCAAGTCTTTTCTTTCTCCTAGCCCAAGATTCCTTGGGAAATTCAGTTTCTTCTTTTTAAAAAATATTTTATCTATTTTAATTTTTTTGGTATGAATGTATCGCTTGCATAATATGTAAGTGCACCTGTGTTGTGAAATGCTTGTGGAGATCAGGAGAGGGTGTCAGATCCCCTGGAACTTGAGTTACAGTTGTTACCCACCATGTAGATGCTGGGAATTGAACCTGGGTCCTCTGCAAGAACAGTTAGTGCTTTGAACTGCTGAAACATCTCTCCAGCCCAAGAAAACCCCAGTTCTTAAAAAA